GGGAGGTTGGCCAGCCAGGGAGGGACCACTGGAGGGCTCCAAGGTGTGTCTGGCCCATCTCGCTCAGTCCTGATCAGCCAGACCCAGCAGCAAGCTAACCTACCAGAGCATCTGCCCCCTGGTGGTCAGTGCATGTCATAGCAACTGGTCGATCAGTTGAATGTCTGCCCCCTGGTGGTTAGTGAACATGACAGCAACTGGTTGACCAGCTGAATGTCTGCCCCCTGGTGGTTAGTGCACATCATAGCAACTGGTTGACCAGTTGAATGTCTGCCCCCTGGTGGTTAGCGCACATCATAGCGAACGGTTGAGCAGCCTTAGCATATAATTAGCATATTACACTTTGATAGTTGACCGGATGACCGAACACTTAGCATATTAGGCTTTTATTATACAGGTTAGTCACCAGAAAGCATACCCTGTTAAGAATAATTTTCTAGCAGAGTAGGAAAAATGACTATTCTATATGAAAGCATATTACTTATTCAGCAAATACCTGCTATGAACCTATGCCATTGTAGGCACTGTGCTATCAACTGGAGCTAAAAACTAAAGTCACAGACCTGCCCTGAAAAAAAAATCCCACATATTAAGGGAAACAACATAATGAATATGTGTCAGATAATGACAAATAAGACTATTAAACAAGTATATTATTTTATAGCTTTTGTGTACAAAACAAAAAAAGACCATTATTTGCACTTACATACAAAAAAACATACACTCTCAAACTAAATACAATATATTCTTATCAAGTTTTATCCTTGAACTAGAGGCCCGGTGCACAAAAATTTGTGCACTCGGGGGGCGGGGGGGTCCTTCAGCCCGGCCTGTGCCCTCTCGCAGTCTGGGACCCCTCGGGAGATAACGACCTGCTGGCTTAGGCCTGCTCCCGGGTGGCAGAGGGCAGGCCCAATCCCTAGGTGCAGCCCCTGGTTGGGCTCAGAGCAGGGCAGATTGGGGAGTTGGGGCGCCGCCCCCTGTCATGCACAGAGCAGGGCGGATCGAGAGGTTGTGATGCCACCCTCAGTCATGCTCAGGGTAGGGTCGATCGGGGGATTGGGGCACCGTCCCCTGTAACACTCAAGGCAGGGTCGATGGGGACATTATGGCTCTACCCCGTCACACACAGAGCCGCAGGGCGATCAGGGGGTTGGGGCGCTACCCCCCATCACGCTGATCCTGGTGCCGGGATGCCTCATGGCTCCGCTGATGCCGGTGCTGGGAGGCATAGTACCCTTTTACTATATAGGGTAGAGGCCTGGTGCATGGGTGGGGGCCGGCTGGGTTGCCCTGAAGGGGGTCCTGGATCGGGGTGGGGGTCCCCACTGGCGTGCCTGGCCAGCCTGGGTGAGGGGATGATGGCTGTTTGCAGCTGGTCACACACCCTTCAGGGTAGGGGTCCCCACTGGGGTGCCTGGCCAGTCTGGGTGAGGGGCTGAGAGCTGTTTCAGGCTGGGGGTGACTGAAGCTCCCAACCGCTCCTTTTTTTCTTTTTCTTTTTTTTATTCTGGGCCAGCTTTAGCTTTGAGGCTTGGCTCCCGGTCTTAGGCCCCCGCGGCTGAAAGTACGTTTCTGGCCTTTGCTTACAATGTTGCTTATCTGCTGGCTGAAGTCGGTGGTATTTGTTACAGAGTTTCTGAAACTGCCGGCTCAGAGGCCTGCAGCGGCAGGCGGGGGACGCTGGAGTCCTCCGTCACTGAAGCAAGAAAGCCTCATGTTAGTTTCAAGCTGCCTGGCTGCCGGCCACCATCTTGGCTGACAGTTAATTTGCATATCTCGCTGATTAGCCAATGAAAAGGGTAGTGGTCGTACGCCAATTACCATGTTTCTCTTTTATTAGTGTAGATATTTGTTTGCAATTTATTCATTCGTTTTGTTCTACATTAGCCCAGGCTAACATAAAATTAGTGGAAAGTATAAGGGAAAAGTTTACATTTTACATTAATCTAAAACCAGTAATATTTCATGCTTCCAGATCAGAATCTTGACCTGATGAGTTTGTAATCCAGCTCTACAAGAACCAGACAGCTCAGATTTACATCTATTGGCCCTTCTCCTGTGACCAACTGCCAGAGACCAAATTTGAAAAGTTTATAATGACAATAATGATTATGAAGATTAACACTTATTAACTGTTTACAAAAAGGCATGCATTATCATAAGTGATTTATTTGTATTAACTTATTTAATCCTCACATTTCTATAAGGTAAGTGCTCTTCCTATTCCCATTTTACAGAAGAGTTAATTGGAACTTAGAGAAGTTAAACGCTGCCTAACAACTCACAGCTAGTAGGTGGGGAAGTTAGGATTCACAACCAAGCAATCTGGTTCCCGTAACAATGTTCTCACATCATGCTTTCAGTCTACCAATAAAACAGCTCAGAAAATATCCAGTGACTTCTGGCCAAGTGAACAAATGGAGCTCTAGACTATTTGCAAAATAAAAATATTTAGAGAATGCATGTGTGTGTATGTGGCACTGCTTTAATTCATGGTAAGGCACCAGCACTTTTGCCCACTATTTCTTTTATATCATCAAGTGCAAATGCCAACACAGTGAAAAGGGCAAATAATACCTAAGAATTATTATAAAAGTAGTTTGAACTCACAGACCCGTGAAAGCTAGAAACAAGAGAACTGCTTATCTAGGCTGTCAATGGGATACTCCCACAAAGAAATTTTAACTTTGAGGCAGTAATGCAGATACAGGAACAACTTAGTCATAGAAATAGAACTGGCTTCCTAACCAGACTTTTCCTATGATATGAACACAGTCAAATTTTGGTTCCTTATTTTCTGAACCTACTTCTCCATCTTTCTCATTAATCCTGAGTTATACAACATCCTTCAAATAAATCCCTTTTCTGCTTAAGTTAGCGATAATCAGGTTCGCTTTTAGTCAATGGAGAAACGTGATTAGCATAGGGAAGAAAACTACAATTCAGAGTTCAGTAGATAATGAATGCAGTCATTTTAATACTTTTTAAAACATATTTTTATTGATTTCAGAGAGAAAAGGAAGAGGGAGAGATATAGAAACATCAATGAAGAGAGTGAATCATTGATCAGCTGCCTCCTGCATGCCCCCTGCTGGGGATCGAGCCCACAACCCAGGCATGTGCCCTGAGCAGGAATCAAACCGTGACCTCCTGGTTCATAGGTTGATGCTCAATCACTGAGCCACATCAGCCAAGATGAATGCTTCTTTTTTAAAAAAAATCTGTTCCCATTTATTCTGAATGAAATGTTCATCAATACATTGAGGATTTAAGCCTTGCCACATAAAAACCAATTAATCAGCACCCAAGAGAAAAGAACATCTGGAATTCCTATGATCCCACAAAGCATAAGAATT